AACGCATTTCACCATACATGAGATAGAAAAATAACAAATAGCATATAATCATTTATGTTCAAAAACTCATGCATGCATAAAACAAAATAGGCAACCAATAATGTAAAATAAAAAAACGTTAAGTTTGGAGGTTACCCATTCCTTATTTTTTGTTGCTAGAGTATTTGAATTTTTTTCACTTTTGTAACTATTGCTTCCACACACCTACAAGAGACATTCATTTGGATTTTTGTATCCAAATTGCTTAGGATCCTTGATTGTTTGTGAATGTCCCTTGTTTCCTTAGGAATCCATATTTGTCTAATTTTAAAATGTTTTCTAAGTTTTAAAGGATAAGTATGTTCCATGTGACCATGAAAATGACAATGTGAGCATTTTGACTTTTTTAAACATGATGAATTGTTTTGAGAAACTAATTCCTTTTTTTTTGTTAAGCTTTCAAGCTTAATTTTTAAATCAAAATTTTCTTTTTCTAAATCATTGATTTTTTATTTTTGAAAACTCAAAATCATTTTTCAAAATTTTCATTTTGTTTTTCAAAATCTAATTTTTGCTTCTTAAAGAAAATCATTTTCAACTTTGAGTTTTAAAATCAATTTCTTATATTTGGAATTCATGGTGTAACCTTACAACTCTGTCTTTTCAATGGCTAAGATAGAACCACTCTAGTTTTTCTAATGCTAAACTATAACCACTCCCCTTTTACAAGGTTTGATTTGTGTAAACAAGAAGACCTCTCAAGGTGGGCGTTTACAAAGATTTAAGCTCACAAGAATAAAACAAATGATATGAAATTAAATTTTATAAACTTATGTACAAGAGAAAATGAATGAAATAGGAATGAAAACTCTTTGCTCTTGATCTCTAAGCTTCGATTGATGTAGTAACCTTCTTCAAGTGTCCTTGGGTTATTTTTATATGATTGAATGAGTTTGTGGTCGTTTTTAGTCATTGGGAATGTTTTTGGAGCCGTTGGAAGCCATTAATCCCCTCAATTTTAGCATTTTTGCACAGTGGTTTCAAAACCACTGCTAGAGGGAGTTTTGAAACCCTCTTTCAAAAATGTGACCTTTGGAATAGGGGGTTTCAAAACCAGGTACAGGGGGTTTCAAAACCAAGCAAAGGGATTTCGAAATCAAGCTGAAATTTTTGAAACTTTGAGCATTCTACCTTAGAGGTTTTGAAACCTTAAAGGGGTTTCGAAATCTTACACCAAGAATTGAATATTTTGACTTATTTTGAGTTTCTAAATTTATTCTAAGGTGTAGATCAAGTAAAAAATACTTGAAAACATTTTTCAAGTTTTGTGGACTTTAAATTATTTTTTAATCATTTGAACAAATTCAATGAAATCCAAAAATATTTTACTCTTATTTATTATATCAAAATATAAGCTCAACACATCAGCCATGCAAGGATTGGTACCCGTAGCATATTCTTTTTAGTGTTGAATTCCACCCAAATTGACTCAAAATCCCTTTGATGTTTCGATATTTGCCATTGTTCCACCCATTGTTTCATCACTATTCCTCTGCTAAAATGATAAAAGAGGAAAGCAATATGATGGCATACATATATCTATATATTTAAGTAACCACCTTTGAATCCTTTGATCTAACGGCTTATATACCATGCCAATGTTACAGTCAAAGAATAATTTTTTTCTTTAATAATATGGAAGAATTTGCAAAATTTCTTGACATTATTTCCATGCTTGGCGTGTCTCTCATTTCTATCATAAGAAAAGAATTCTTCTTTTTCTTTCAAATTATAACCGACTCTCTTTAATTTTTCTTTTTCTTTTATCTATCGATTACTATTGAACTGATGGTGGAGAAAAAAATGATCTGCAAAGGAATAAAAGGAAGGTGATTTTTCCATTAATTTTGATTTCAAGCAAGTTATCGTCAAGTAGAACAAAAAGGGCAAGAGGAAGAAGAAGTTTAGCTTAGCTTTGGTTGGCGTTGTTATTTTCATGGCTACCAGTAGAGGCAACATGAATCACTCCATCTAACTACAACAAAACCACCACCATCATCAATATCAACAGCAAATGCAAGAGCATAATCAACATCATCAAAATCATATTCCTCATGAAATGATGCAGTCATCTTCTGTTCTAGGAAACTTCATGTAATGTTTCTTTCTTTTTTTCTTTTCTTTTTTACAGTATCATATTAACTATAGAAAGTAAAACCCAAAATTCATCTAGTTACTCTCTTCTCTTTCTTCTTCTCGATGAACAAGACCCCTCCACCGTTCAAGACCAAAGAAGAGAATGTTCTTTCTATCTATCAATTTTTCTTTATTTTTTTTTTCTTTAAAAAATATGTTTACTTCAAAGACCATAAAGAATTTTCTTTTCTTTCCTTTTTTTCTCTTTTTCGTTTTTTTAATCTTTTGCATGGTTTTCAGAACCGGACCGGTTAGCGAACCGATCATGCTACCGGTTCACTGGTTCAATCGGTCGGAAGAATCGGACGACGTCATAATTATTTAAAAAATTAAATAAAAATACCAAAAAATATTTAATAAAAAATAATTTTTTATATCACAATTTATATTCAAAGCAAGTCATAAATATAAGTTAAAAACCATAAAATCAAGTGAAACAAAATTATTCAAATTAACTACAACATAATATTTAAGGTAAAACATATTAAATAATAAATATAATTATATAACTATAATTAAAAAATAAATTTGGGGCTAAAAAATCATAATAAAATGATATTGTTTGGTTTAATTTTTTTAAAAAACAATCTCACATGGCTAAGAAACATAGAATATCATCCCAACTAACTTCTATAAATAATAGAGGTAATTTGACATTCAAAATCATGGAGCCTTTTAGTAAGCCATAATTATTTAAAAATTAAATAAATACTAAAAAATATTATAAAAAAAAATAATTTTTATATCACAATTCATATTCAAAGCAAGTCATAACATATATAAGTTAAAAACAATAAAATCAAGTGAAACAAAATTATTCAAATTAACTACAACATAATATTTAAGGTAAAACATATTAAATAATAAATATAATTATATAACTATAATTAAAAAATAAATTTGGGGCTAAAAAATCATAATAAAATGATATTGTTTGGTTTAATTTTTTTTAAAAAACAATCCCACATGGCTAAGAAACATAGAATATCATCCCAACTAACTTCTATAAATAATAGAGGTAATTTGGCATTCAAAATCATGGAGCCTTTTGGTAAGCATTGAGTGAACTATTATTTCACTTCAATCAAACTCGAATTTTAGGCTTCAATCGAGTTTCTAAATTTTTTTTGAGTTCAAGCCTTTTTTAGTTCAAATTTCAATATTATATTTCGAGTTCGAGTTAAACTTCATAATTTTTAGCTCGTGAGTTTGAATCGAGTTGAGCTTACTTTTAAATTTTTCAAGTTCGAGTCGAGCTCAGCAATACTCGAGTTCGACTTGGCTCGTTTAACAAACGACGTCGTTTGGTTTAATTTAAAAAAAACAAAATTAGCGGTTTTTTTCAATTTTTTTCGATTTTCAGCCTATCCGGTTTGAACAATTCAGCGGTTCTGGCCGGTTCACTAGTAACGATTCAACCGGTCTAGATTAAACCAGACTAGATAATGATTTCCGATTGAATCGGTTGAACCGGTTAAACCGACCGGTCCGATTTGGTTTTCAAAACAATGATCTTTTGTTATGAAGATTCTTATTCAGACTGGTCCTACATTTTTATCACAGAAAAAACATGTACATGTTTTAGACAGATTCAATCCGCCAGAACTTTCTTTTTGACCAGATCCCAGACAGTAGAGAAGTTAATGGAAGGAGAAATGGGGAAACAAGCGAGCAAAAGTGAGAAGAAGAAGAGGCACGTGGGTGCACGTGAATTGTTTTTTTAAACTCTTTTGCTGCCACGTAATCCTGTTATTAATGAGTTAAAAAGGGTGTGTTTGGTTGGGGGAATGTGAAATTCTCATGAGAATGGAATCTACATTCCCTCGTTTGGTTGGCCGGAAATGTCATTCCAGGTAATCTTACATTACCAATAGTGGATTTTTTTGGGTATATTATCGGGAATGTCATTACCTCCCTTTCCTTAAGTATTGTTGGATTACCGGTGTTTTGAACTAAAATGTCCTTAATTTTTTTTTCTTTCAAAAATATATTTATTCTGTCATTGAATAATAAAAATTCTACAAATGTTAAATTACAAATTTATCCTTAAACTATTTTAGATTTACAAAAAAAAACTATAATTAAAATTTTATACGAAGTTCAGGGGTTAAAATAAAATTTTACACTTTCATTAAACCTTTTTATATTTTCAATTTTGTAAAAAAGGTATATAAATTTTTTGAATTTAAATTTTTTAAAGAAAATATATAAATATTTTCCAACTTGTTAAAAAAACAAATATATAATAAGGACAATTTGATCAAATATACATTTCAATAATCTTTTATTCTTTTAACCAAACACGGTAATCTTACATTCATGTTAAACCAACCAAACACAAAATACAACATTCCCAATAATCCTATTCCCTGGTAATCTTTTATTCTCACTGGTAATCTTACATTCCGTTAACCAAACGCACCCTAAAAGTTAACGGTTAAAATATTTGAACTGGACAGACCGATAAATAAGGGATCAAAGACATTTAAATAAAAAATCGATGAGACTAAAAATAAAAGGGACTAAAGGCATAATTTACCCTTAAAATATAGCATAGATTAGAACATACATATTAAATAGCCTAGCAAAGTCTTCAGCCCCAATTCTTGAGTTCCTCGAGGAAACGAAAGCTCATCAAGTTATAGTTATTTGGTACAAAAGAAACGAATATGAAAAATAGCGTGTCAACTACCTGCTGCCAAATGTGCTGAAAATTTTAATTAAGTGGATTAAACTTTCACCTCTTAACTGAGTTGGTACCATTTAAATTTCAATAAACCCCTTTGAACTTCCCCGTTATTTCAACTCCATTGAATCAACAAAAGATGTAACCCCAAAAATGCAAAGCACGACAATAAATGCGAACCCGCTGTTTCCAAACACAGTATTAAATGCAGCAGCAGCCTCTGCTCACCTTTCTTCTCTTTCCCTTCACCAAATGGATACTCATCTCCTTCTTCAATGTCCACCCATTCCCCTAACTATCTCACTAACTTAGGCCTCGGCTATTCCATCGCCATCGCCCTCGGTTTCCTCGTCCTCCTCTCCACCGTCCTTCTCGCCTCCTACATCTGCTGCCGCTCTTCTTCTTCCTCCCCAGGCGCCTTCTCTCCCAACACTACCGCCGCCGCGGCCAACTCCGATGGATTCACCCTCCCCAGGATCATTTTCGTCGCCGAAGACTACGACAACGACAGCTCCGTCGTGGGACTCGACCAGGCCGTTATAAACTCTTACCCCAAGTTCCAGTTCAGTAAAGATCAATCGTCCGTGACGGATCCCGGAAACGCTAACGCAACGTTTTCGATTTGTTTGTGCGAGTACAAAGATTCGGAGACGTTGAGGATGATGCCCGAATGCAGGCATCATTTCCATGCTCCTTGTATTGACGCTTGGTTGAAACTCAACGGGTCTTGTCCCGTTTGTCGGAACTCGCCGCTCCCCACTCCGCTGTCTACGCCTTTGTCTGAAGTGGTTCCTTTGTCTCAGTACGCCGCTGATCGAAGGAGTTGGAGGTGACTTCCTTTGGTGGTTCATTTCTTGTGGGTTTCGAAGGCATTCATCCTCGTCTTTTTGGGATTTCTGACACGCGCTTGTTCCATTAATTTTTCAATCGTTCACACTTTCCACATTAATATTTCGTCCGGCTAAATTTCTCCCTTATCCTTATAAATACTCCCTCTATTCTTCATTCAAACACACATCAAATTCTCAAACCGCCCAAATCTCAAACCCTCTCAAAACTCAAATTGATTAAATTCTATTAAGAATGTAAAATATTTTATTGTATTATAATAAATTGATAATTTATTATTTTATTAAATTATATTATATTAACTTTTATTATTTTTTGTAGTTATAAAATGGAAGGCGATCTGCTGCGTTTAGATAAATATCATATCTCGAGGCATTTTGTTGATATGATAACAATTTTTATTTTTTTTAATTTTAATTATTGTTAATATTTTATTTATTTAATTTGTTTAGTATTAGTTGGAATTTTAATTTCTATAATATTTATTAAATTAGGAGAGATATTGTATATTAGATCCCTTCATTCGTAATATTAAGTTAGAGATATCAACATGTGTATGGTCGTATTTAGTCGAGGATGTATTCGGTTACGTAGCAAAATATGAAGGGCACTATAACCTAGAATCCAATCTTATTTCTACATTGGTTGAGCGGTGGAGACCAGAGACACACACATTTCATCTTCCGTGTGGAGAGTGCACAATTACGCTGGAGGATGTTTTCATGCATTTGGGGCTTCCGATAGATGGAGATATGATTTCTAGGGCGGCGTAATGTGATTGGCATTCATTGTGCGATAAGTATCTGGGAGGTGTCCCGCCTAATTTTAACGATGGTTGAATTTCGTTAAATAGGTTGGATGCAACTTTCAAGCATTTGAGTGGCGATGCCTCAGAGGAGCTGGTTAAAATGTATGCACGGGCTTGCATACTAAAGCTCATAGGAGGGCTCCTAATGTCGGACAAATCGCACAACCAAGTTAATTGTATGTAGTTGTGTCACCTTGCCAATTTTCATCATGTTGGCACATTGAGTTGGAGCTCTACAGTTTTGGCATTTCTGTATAGGGAAATGTGTCGAGATACTGACTATAGAAAAAATGTTATCAGCGGATGTCTCCTTCTACTTCAGTCTTGGGCGTGGTATCACATGCCCTTTTTATGTCCGGTTGTGAAAACCCCGTTGGTCTTCTAGCTATTATTTAGGTAATTACATTATTGATTTCTTATATTAATAATTTTATTTAGTATATAATAAAAAAATGTTTCATTGAATAGGTGGTCAACTGCAAGAAAAGATCACCGGGCTTTACCTGATGAATTGGAATAAATTAGGCTACTCATTGTTCAGAAGGCTAACACAGAGGTATGTATTTAAATAATAAAATGTATTTTTAATTATCGTTATATAATTAGATTATTATTTTGATAAGAATTATATATATTTGTTTTAGTTTGAATAGGTTCCCTATTGTACTGAAGAGATGAGGATTTTCATCCCACATCACTTAAGAGTCACATTAGATGTCTGGATGGAAGTGGTCACTCTAATATGTTATGTCGAGTGGCATATCATCGATAGACGTGACAAAAAAGAAGTCGACTGACTACTGAAGCACTATGAGTGTGTAATGATATGGGAGGATAGACGTGGATGCATTCCCCATACAGAACCCATTTATGTGGACAATTTGATGGTTGCAAATGGTTATTATGAGTGGTTCAACAGGAACGGGAAATCGTTCCTATTTTTCGATGAAACACGAGGCGGGGCCTTCACAGCAGCCACCGTATATACCGATGTACATTCCACAGTCGTTTCAGATGGCACCGCAACCATTTCATATTCCACTGTAGCCAGGTCATACGCCACCACTTCCATACCAGATGCCGCTACTGTCACAGAGTTATATGACCTCTCATGGCGGATATTATAGTTTTATGTTTGTATATCCAACTTGGGGTTCATATGTTGGTTATTTGGCGGGTGAAGCTTCACCACTGATGGACGCCGCACAGACACCTCTTTTATCGATTTCGCACTCATCGATATCGTTATTTTCACAGTTTTCACATTTTTATATGAGAGGTGGGATAGTCAGACATACACATCTAGGTCATTATTCTATAGAGGTGCTACATCGTCATTCGTCCCTCATCAACAAAAAGTATTTGCTCCTGATGATGATGATGGTAATGGTGATGATGATGAAAGTGAGGAGTCAGAACAAATTATACGAAGAAATCCTCCTCGAGACAGACAGCCACCGCCCTGCGGAACACATTCAAGACACAGCGATAGATTAATACATTTCATTATTTTTGTATTTAATTTTTTATTTACCAAAAATTGAAATTTTTTATTTAATTATTTACCTTTTATTACTTAATTTATTTTGTTTGTTATTTTTTATTACTTAATTGTTTGAATGTTTTTATTATTTAGTATTTTTTAATTTTTTTGTTGTATCGTTTTCTTGTTTAATTAATCAGTGATGCTCAAATGACATTAGCTGAAAGTAAATGAAAGTTAAATTATAGAAAATTAGATTTCATAAACAACAACTACATCAAGCACAACATCAACGGTTACTTGATGACAAAAGAGATGGACATTTTTCCTAGTGTGTCCTAAGTTTCTACAATGCTCATATCTTTTGTTTTCTCTGGACGTTTCCCGAATATCCATATCACATTGAATTCGAATGGATTTTGAACGATCCGAATCCCTCAATAAGGATAGATTTGGTACAATCGAAAGCTAATTTTAAACCTCATTAGGGTTATTCATATTACCTATGAGGAAGAACTCAAATTCATATACCTTAAACACTTCTGAAAGTAGGTATACAAGATCTACAAAACGGTTATAGTCTTGATGGGTATGCGAGTAATCTGCTATGACATGAGAGCATGAATACTTCAGAGCTTGAAAAAAACCCACAATCGCACCATCTATCTCATAGATTAACTCTGAACAAGTTAACTTGAAACCCTTTAAGAGGTTACGGCATCTCTGTGACACGAAATAATTTATGGGTTTTAGAGAATCTTGTTATAGACATTCCATTTGATGAAACAATTCTTTTTTGTAGATCTATAACTAATCTTGGATGATAGACATGACCGTTTTGCATCCAAGTTTGAGCTTGTCCCCCGAGCTTGGCAAAAAAACGCTTCCAAACGAAAATATGTCGTTTTTACCATAGTTGTTACTGGTCATGTGTCCATATCGATATCCACTATCATATGTATTGTTCACATTTATTTATTGATGAGGATGATGTAATCGTATCATTCATCATTCTTTCCTCTCAACTCTTGAACATGGACTCAAATGTTTCAAGTAGTAGTTCATAACCTGAGCATCAAATGTCGAACTTACTAACTTTGTTTCCATAAAAAAATGAAAATGATTGAACAGTAAAAAAATAGCATTTTGATATACCTATGCGCACAAGTAATTAGCACTCATCATTCTTCTTGAACCTTCCATGATAGTTTGCAGTAATATGTCGAATATAGTATCGATGTTGGACATAGTGTGGTTGTCACATTAGACCAAAAGAATCTATTGTTGCTTGATTCCAGCTCTGCGATCTGAAATGACATAGAGTTTTTCCCTCGTGATAATATGTAAGCGTAAGTTTCTGAGGAAAAAACCCAAGAATTTGTATCTTCTCCTTCAACAAGGGAAAAGCAACTGGAAGTATGTTGCGATTACCATCTTGGGCAACTTCCAATAGTAAAACTTTCTTATATTTTCCATACAATAATGTCTCATCGATTTGGACCACGGGCTTGCAGTATTTCACAGTATTAATGCACTGTGGGTAAGTCCAAAAAATCCAGAAGAATTGGCATCGATCGAGAAGCACTCGATCATTGTGGTGTGCATGGTAAGTTTCGAAGTCGATAATTGTCCCAGGATTCAATCTGCGCACCACCCTAAACCAACTTGGTAGTTCATTGTAAGATGCACCCCATTCGTCGTGAAGTTTTTTAATGGCATTATGTTTTACCTTCCATGCTTTTCTGTATGAGATGATATACCCATACTGCAATTTTATATATGAAATCAGTATAACAATAGCTATATGGGAGTTTGCTTTTACCATAGGCATGATGGCTTGGCAGATAATGTCGGAGTCCAAGTTGGGATGATCTTGGTTGATCCATCCAGCACAGCATGTGTGAGGACCATTGTATATCGTTAGTTTACATATATTGTTTTTCCTATTCCTCTTCGATACGTGAACCATCCAATTGCTTCCGTTATCACGTTGGACACAGTGTCAGACATACCTTTCAGTGGTAGAGCGGTCGACTTTAGACTGAACAAAGTTACGAATATTGTAATTCTTAATTGTCATCATCGTTTCTTCTTTGCATGAAAACTCCATTCCTTTATATAACTCACCATTCTTGAATGATGAGATAAATCCATAGTCACCGACATTAGGTATATCCGTAAATTCTGGCACGTAAATTACATCATAATCAGCTTCATACATGTGTGTTGGAGGTTTAGTATGTGTACCGTATTTGTGGGAACTTTATCTACATCATCATCATCAGAGTCTATGTTGAACTATGGTGATTCTGGCTGAACGAATAGTTCAGTCTCAGCATCATCTATACCTGGCTTATGAAGAGGTTCTTATGGTAGAGATGGGGGTTCCTCCATGCTGTTGATATTTAGGTCGAACAAGCTGGTAATTGAATGCATTCCCCTTGAACTTGAAGGCATATCGACATTGAGGTCGAAGAAGCTCAAAGTTGAATGCCTCCCCTAGGAGCTTAAAGGCATCATGTCAAATGGTTACTGCACATATTGTTACGTCAAGGGCATCTTTATATTCAGGTCAAAGAAATTGGCAGATGAATGCATTCCCCTTGAACTGGACGCGATATTGCCATACAGATTGTTTGTGGAGCCACATTGGTACAGATCGTAAGAAGTTGGTGATGAATGTCTCCCCATTGAACTTGA